GTTTTTGGTAACTTTGATGTATTGCTATAAGGCCGCTTATCTTTGTATTGGAACATGACTGTTATCAACATTTGGTGGCTCCTAAAAGAGCCGTTTTGAGTTTGTTATTAAGCTGGGAGCTTAATGTTGTTTCTTCTCCGCCTTCTTGGGTAGAAGCACTGCTTGTATGTTGGGAAGAACTCCACCCTGAGCGATAGTCACACCAGCAAGAAGTTTGTTTAACTCTTCATCGTTTCGAACGGCTAACTGCAGGTGACGAGGGATGATCCTGGTTTTCTTGTTGTCCCGAGCAGCATTTCCAGCTAACTCGAGAATCTCAGCACTCAGATACTCCAGTACGGCAGCCAAGTAGACTGGAGCACCTGCGCCGACACGCTCGCCGTAGTTGCCTTTGCGAAGGAGACGATGGATACGACCAACAGGAAACTGAAGTCCTGCCCGGGATGAACGGCTCTTAGACTTGGTGCCCGGAGCTTTGCCTTTTCCTCGACCTGTCATTTTCACTTTCTGAATGTTCTCTTTGCTTGTTATCTCTGGCAAAGTTGAGTTGAACGATTTTGTTCTAGTCTAGTCAGCCCGAAACTATGACCCGGATTTTTATTTGATTTTTCTTCAAATCAGAGGATCAAAGCGCACCAATCAAAACCGCGCCGTACTCCGAACAAAAGATAATTAGCAGGCAAAATGCGCTGTCGGTAGCGTCGGCCTATGGGTAGTTGTCAGTTAATGAAATAACCAATCGGCGAAAGGCAATTTCGATCCGCATACTAATTAATCCTCCTGGATAATTTGTAATAAATAGCAGTTAAGTTACCGTGGCATGTTCAAAGCTGATCTCATCGGATCATCTAGAATTCCAAACAATTTTTCAGAGAAGCCAGATAAACATGGCACCGAAAGTTCCAGCAGCAAAGAAAGGCGAGAAGCGAGCGGGAAAAACTAAGTCGGCGGCAGTTGATGGTTCGGCCAAGAAAAAGAGGAAGGGAAAGAGAAAGGAGAGCTATGCGATCTACATCTACAAGGTCCTTAAGCAAGTTCATCCCGATACGGGTATTTCTAGCAAGGCCATGGGTATCATGAATTCGTTTGTGAATGATATCTTCGAGCGTATCGCCAATGAGTCTTCCCGCCTGGCGCACTACAACAAGAAGTCGACCATCAGCTCCCGCGAGATCCAGACCGCCATCAGGTTGCTTCTGCCCGGAGAACTTGCAAAGCATGCTGTCAGCGAAGGCACTAAGGCTGTCACCAAGTATACCAGCAGCAAGTAAACATCGACTCCAGCGTTGATTCACAACAAAAACGGCTCCTTTAGGAGCCACCACATGTCATAAAAAGCAATGTCCAACGTGTCAGTTCTTTAGTTATTAATCCCTTCTGCTCCTTTAATCGCCACACTACACAAGGCTTTCTTTTAAGCTTTCAGATTTGAGATAACTATT